AGCCACCAGGGAGGAGGTGGGAGTTCAGCGAGCCATGCATTTCTCAGCTTAACGTTCGTAAAGCATCACTCTGCCTTTTCGTGAGTTGCTCTGGTGTAAATCTTCCTGCTTCGGCGAGGAAGGGGAAGGGCTGTCCTGATTTTACAAATGCGGAGAGGGACATCGTCACTCCCGTGGGCATGCTTTCTTTATGGTGTCCTGTAGTCGTCTCCTTATTACCAGGATGGATGAAGAAATCTGATCAGAGAGGGTGACGGTCCGAAGTGGAGCTCTGCAGCCCAGCTTTCACCCGAGACAGTGCCTGGGGAGAGGGGCGCAGGTTTGCAAACCATCCTCTGGGAGATTCCTAGGTACTGCAGCATCTGACCTGACAACCCCTGTGAGACAGCACTGGCCAGGGCTCCCCTCACTGTGTGTGTCCGCCTGTAGATCCGCTTTCCCCGACTGAGCCAGCCCCGCAGACCTGGGTTCCCACGGGCGTTTTCCCTGCCTGGACAGAGGGCTCAACACAAGCCCCCATTTTTCACTCTGGGGAGAAAACTGCTCCGTCATGTGGGTTTCATCCTGTAACCCGCATCGGCGGTGCCAGAAACCACGGCTCAAGTGGCCTAAAATAAAGCCCGGTTGTAGGGAGACTGAAGGGTGGTTTTGTTTCAAAGCACATCATGTAGGACTGAGTTGGGGGCACAGGGGGAGCTGCAGGTCACATTTTTGGACTCTTATTGGAGGCACTTTCCTTCTTAGAGGCCTTCTCCATTTGGTTCTTAACCCGTCATCGTCTCCAGCAATCCCAAATCTTGACCGATGATCCCAATTTGTGATCCCTCTTTCACATTCCTAGAAAGGGCTTTCTGTTTGTAACTCCCCTTTTCCAAGACAAGGGATGGCCTTTTTGTTCTTTCTTGGACTTCTGCTCTAATTGGTGTTTGTCTTGCTTGCTTCCCAGCTCTAGCCCCAATGCCAGCACGTGATAGACTTTCAGAACACATTTATTGAATGAACGGTTGTTGGAATCTGGCTTTTAATCAGCAGTAAGCAGGCGAGGTGGGACCGGGGAGAGGTGGTGCAATGCTACACCTGGTCTGGTTTGCCCAAACTTCCAAGGTGGGCTGCCTATTAAACCAGTGTGTAAATAATCCGAAGTGAACAGAAGCCTGGCCCGAGAGAGGTTTCCACGTGAATAGCCCTTTTAGTAGCAAATCTTGGGAACAATAGTGCTGTACTGAGATGTCATGCCCTAAGCCTTTATGTTTCAGGTGTGGGAACAGCAGCCAGCAGAGTAACAAAGGGAAGCTTTATCCCTTCAAGCTGGGCAGAAGCCTTCCCAGTGAAGTCATTTCCCACTCCCTTCCCGGGCACCTTCATGCCCCATCTTGAGAAATCATTGTTCCATGGAAGAATTCTAATTTTATTAACTTTAACAACGTTAGCTCCAAACACAAGGCCCTCTTCCTCTCCCCTAGTTTTTACTCTTGGCCCCAGTTTCAACTAAGGAGGCAGATATTGTGGCTGTTTCTCAGAGTGTGAGAATCAGGAACTACTGCTGAGAGTGGCCTGATCTCTCTTTTCTGGAAAAGAACCTGTTGTGGCAAACAGGTGATCTGGCTGCGTGCTAGAGCTTGCTCTCTCCCCCGGTTGAGGGTGCTGACTCTGACCCTTTAAACCCTACTCTGGAGCCAAATGTTCCAGGAGTCTTTGCTGAACACCTGGACAGGATACTGTCATTTAGGACTGTTCTGGAAAATGGAGGCAATGTGCCAGCCTCACTTGACTCTGAGGTCCATTTGCTTCTCTTGGGGGAAAAATGGGGTCTCTGTTCCAGACTGGAACAGTAGAGAGATCTGACTTCCCCAAGGTACATTGCTTGGTGGTGCTGGGGCTTGGATCAGAAGCTTCATTCATCCATCAAGCAGTTTGGGGGCACCTGCCTTAAGCCAAACCCTGTGCGAGGTGTTGGGGACACCCAGGTAAATGAAAGAACCTCTCCCCTTCAAGAATAGCTTGATCTAATAAATATCCCTGGGGCTTTCTGGTTGACAAAGCTCTCTCTTACTTGAACTTCAAGACAACTGCTCTGAAAGAAAACGGAGATTGGGGACAGTCAAGGGCTCTCTCCAAGGTCACACAGCCAGTAAGTGGCAGAAATGAAATTCGAACTCAGAGCTTCTAACTCCAGACTGTGTCCTTTTAGTCACACCCACCGCCTCCTAAAATGACTGTGGAGGGTTGATCGCAGGGGAAGGAGTAAACACCTGGAGTCAGATGGTGGCGTTGTCCCCATGATTATCACTAGGTTTGCCCTAAGTGGGGTTTTTGACGTATCCCTTTTTCACTGTTCATTCAACAAACATGGAACTGAGAATTGCAATGGGTTAGGCCCTGAGCTGTGGATACGAAAGACGGTGAATAAGACAGGAAAGGTTCCTGCCCTCACCCAGCTTCTATTCTAGTGGGGGACAGGCATTAAGCAGATGAGCAGGTAATTAGATAGGATAACTAAGGATGGCAACCAGTGCCTCAGAGGAAACATACGAAGGAGGGATTTACTGGATGTGTGATTCCTTCAGATCAAGTGGTCCAGGAAGGCCTGATGGAGGAGGTGACATGTGAGCTGAGACCAGAAGAAAGAGAGTGAGTCAGCTATGAGTAGGGCCACCATGGAATGAACATTCCAGAAGGCTGGAGTCATGAAGACAAAGACCCTAAGGTGGACACGAGCTTGCTATGTCAGAGGGAGCATAAGGTCAGCGTGGCTGGAGGGTGATGAGGGGCCGGGAGAATGCAAGAGAGGACCTGAGACAGGTCGTCAGGGATTCGATTGTGTTGG